CTGTCATAGAGGGCTTGTCTTTCTTGAGATTCTTTGATCTCAATCTAGTCAGAGGGACGGTATCGTTGTCACTATCACTAGGTTTGTCTGCAAGTAGGTCACTGGAAGAGGTGGTATGTAAAGCGGGAACATCATATTGGTGATTGGATATATCGACAGCCGCTTGGGTCCAGTCGGAAGCAGACAAGCAAGGATTATCAAAGTCCAGTGTGATCGATTGCTCTGTACAGTGTGATGGGATGTGTGATCGACCTGTAGAACATTCTGCGTCGATGCCTGATGGTAGCACATCTGAAATGTAATCCTACATCAATCACATCAGTAGATTCATCACGACAGGCCGCATGTAAATCAACTAACAGGAAGTGCAAAATTTTTGGTATAATATTCTTCGTCCGCTCCATGTGGTTCACTGGCTTCGTGGTGCGTACAAAGTTCCAGTTGCACTCCATCATCGTTAAATGTTTTGTCACTGTCCACAGGTGCCCCACACGACTCTGCATCACATTGGACAGCACAATCAACACGCATGTTTGACAGGCTCAGACCACGAGCAGCAGAAATAAAGAATTGTGCGATACTCTGTCGCTCCTGTGGAATGGTCTGTGTCGCGCTCAGGAAATTTGATATGCCATATAATTCGCAGTACTCCTGATAGGTGGCTTCACTAACAGACCCGTTTTGAAAGGCGTCGTCAAGAGGGGTGTCCTCATCCAGTCCATGCAGTTCTCGTAATCGGACTACAATATGTGCGATGAACCACCGTGAAAGATCAACACGAGTGGCCTTGATACCCATGGTCCGAAGGGCACGCTTGCAGTAATTCCAGTCGAATGGAAGTGGGAACTTGCAAGGATTCATAAGATGCGGTATAAACGGCGTGAAATGCACATACAGGTCTCAAGACCGACTTTGGTAAACATGCAGAATTTGGACTTTCGCCAGTACTTTCGACGCAGGCATCATCTTCAACCGCATCTCCAGGAGTGGTCCTTCCCGCTTGTACACCCAGTGACTAAAGGAGCATGAGGTGAAAATAATACACAACAGTGCGATTGAACATACCACGACATCTGGTATTTCAGTTGTCTGATTGACAGTGGTGACTGTGTCTGTGGAACGAGCCACGGTAGTTCTGGCAGATTCATTTGGAGCAAGAGTTGCATATAAATCAACTGCATCCAACAGCTTCTCACTATCGACCGGCTAGGGCAGGATGAGTAAGATGAGTTAGTAGACACTCAACCGTATGCAGGGACACACCGTGGTATCTTTCAAAGATATGGTCTGATTATTTTTGTCCGTCGAATGAACAGGTGTCGGGCTTTGTGATTCCTTGGGCACGTCACTTCCATCCATAGAGGAATCGACTGCATGTAGAAGTCGTTGAAGATCCTCTTCGGAAACACAGCCCTGAAATACACCGCACAGATCGTATTCATTACAGTTAGTCGTGTGATAGGCATTCCAATCAACTTCATCGCAGATCAGAGACAGATCGAGGTGATTCATGGTGGACCACATACGTAACGTTATGATATCATTGCCCTCCCTATTCTGTAGGGACTTGAAGGTTACATTATGATCCTTTTCCAGGATCTCACGACTCCTATCATGGAAGGCGCCGACCTTATGGTCCAACCATAGATAGTAATCCATTGCTGGAGACCTAAATCCAGCTTCGAGAGGATTTGCAGATCCTCGAGCATCCGTGAAAAATGCGATGCGCACATCGTGCATATAGTCCATGACAGAAAGGTATGTATCTCGTAGTTGTATAGCCAGAGGGTTTCGAGAGTCGGTCAGGTGGGTCACAATATGCCTGTAGAGTCCAAATTTCTTGTTGATGGCTCGAAGGGGCACCCGATAGTGTGCAGCGATCGGGCAGCTCTGTGAGGCCATTCCAGAGACTTTGAATGAACACTCCCCATCCACATCTTCGATTGTCCCCTTTGATTTCATCAGCATTCCTAGATTTTTTTTGCTCCAGTGACGGAATGTGAACGAGGGATCCATGGATTAGATGTTCTGTGGTGACAGAGAGACACTATGGGGCACAGAGAAAAATGTAGGGTACCAGTAATTCAGAACGAAAATAAAATGCGGCGACAATGCAACACAACGTGTTCTTGGCACAGTAGGGGGTGGCTCTCAAAATCTAAATCGTTTTTGGTATAGCGTGCAGATCAGCGGCAGTGTGCCAACTCGCTACAGGAATCAGGATCGCTCCAAGCTTGCCCAAATGATTATTGTATGTGATTGATCGGTCGAGCGCTTCATCGGAACGTGATCCGATTGGATGCAATGAATTAGACCCTCGAATAATCCTGCAGCGATCCTGCATTGAGTTAATGCCTAAGCCCAAAAGTGTTATTTGCCGCTCAATACTACAAGGGGATCCATGAAAATCGGACACTTGTCAATGATCATATGCTAATACAAATTGATATCGTGCATTGCATTGTTACATAAAGTCATTATGAAATGTTCTTTGGCTCTATGAGGTCGGATCAATGTCACCCGTTAGACGCAGCATACAGTCAATTCAACATAACACATCTACACAAGCTGGGCACCTGTAATAGCTCGTTCCCTCATGATCCCATGAATCTGTCTCTACCAGGATATCTCTCCATGCCTCTGGCATGCTACCATGCGTCCTCGCCTCTCTCAAGAGCAACTTCGCTCGAGAATAAATAGATCCATTGCCGACCACCCCAAATGGACCACCACGGCAAATTGGCATGGTAAACATGGTGAGGAACTCTGCCTCCAACTGAATATCGTTGTATATAGCCGGCAACACTGGCGTAGGACGTCGATCTACCCGAAGTTCAAGAGAATCCAGGCATTTTTGATTGAACCACTGTTTGCATTTCCTGCAGTATCGCTGGGAGATGCTGGGACAGTATAGCGTAAGATCACATGCATCGCAGCGACACTGCGATGCTCGCTGTGGATTCTGGAGATTTCAAACGGATCAGAATTTTACACAGCGGAAAACAATATGCCATAGCCTTACACTAAGATTCATACCATGAAGGCGCACTTTCGTCCTGCTCTTCACAAATTTTATTTCCACATTCCAACGATGGTATGGGGTCTCGGGTGGTAGTTGACGTTGTGAAATGTTGCCTTCATCATAGCTGACGATCAAAGCATGGTCTGACATGAACAGGAATGCGTCAAATGGTGGGCAATTGATCACACGACACACACCTTCGACGCATGTCATATCCACTAAAGATATGTGGTCGCTGAGCACAAGCTCATACTCGCCCATGTATTGAGCCAGGCTGCATTCAATGTGTTAGTATCCTGGCAGCAATTGCGCGAATGACAGAATAATGCACTCTACTCCATTATCCTCCAAGTCCATCCGTCTGTAATACCACTGTATGTCCAGCCAGACATCCTTCATCGGACTACATTAGGAGTTTGGGCGTGTCTGAACTTTTAGTATGCTCACATGGGTGTCCCCTTGTTCCTTCAAATATATTTTGGCGACCTTGCCATACCAATAAGACATGATGGGCAGGCTTCCATCTTCTTTTGGCACCGCCCGTACATCATCTGGGAAGATTGCAATACTAACAAGGTGCATGTCAGCATCTTAAACATGAAAAGCAAATGAAATTAAGATCGCACGTTTCCCCCACCCTAAGTATGAGACGATGCAACTCATGTGTCGAACACGAATCATCGTCCGTGTTGTATACCCCTATGAGCGACAGTGACATGAAGTCAGTCTTAAGTGAGCGATCAACATAACTACGTCAGAAGACAGAAAACATACATTCGAAGGACCTACAAGTCCGCAGTCGACGAGTATCTGGCTTACTGCTACGCATCGGGGGAAGTCTTCTACGATCTACATGTGAGACAGAGCTGACGATAGACAGACGATGAGACATCGAGTCTGAAACCACACCGCAGAGAATATGGATGTTCAGGTAATGGAACAGCAGACACGACACCGGTGCACACGGGGCATGTAACGGAGTCAAAGTGTCAGGCGATATTCAGGAAAATGAGAGGGTTGTACTACTATGAATTTGGACACCTGAGATCCGGATTAGAATTACGTATCAAAGGGTTGCTTACTGGCAGTACTCCGAATGCTGTAATATCAGCATCTGAGCCATGCCACAAACATATGAAGCAGTGCTGCAATTAAACCATTGATATAGGCGGACCATCCTATGTAGGTGCCGAATAATGGTCATGTGGGTTGTGCTGCATACCAATCGTATGTACTTTGACGTAATTGGAATGAAATAGGGTGCGCCACAGTCAATTAGACTGATAAACACCGATTACCCTCGAAAAAAAAAATGGAAGGATTGAGATGAGTCACAAGATCCGAAGTACTATGGGGCATAGAGCGCAACAAGTGGCAGCAAATAAGGTCACCGATAGGTATTCAAGGCCTGACGGCCTGGGCGTTCATGTGAGAGGTTTGATAATATAACAAATGGAGGGTGGTAGATAGCTGGCATTCGCATCTAAACTCTAAATTAACCTCACCTCAGTCAGTCTGAACGGCGCCATGGAGGAAAATGGACTCGAAATTCTGCAGGAGATCATGGAATGCGGCATCCTGAATTCCAGCCCACACAGAAAGATAGCTGCAAGGCCTGTTAAATACACAGCACCTGATACAGGCGATGCTGGGTGGAATACAGACACAGATATGACTGATCTTTTGGCAGCCATAGAGAACTGTGGAATATTGGACAAAGGAAAGGAGATTTTAACGGACAATAAACGGCTGCGTGGAAGGCCGAAAAAGAAAGTTATCAAAAGAACAGGGAATCGTGAGTTAATTAGATTGACCCCTATGTTGATGCACATGATAAATTGGCGCAGGCAGTACTAAAAAGCAGGCATGCGCCAAGGATGGGTTGAAATCATCAGCTCGACCTATCATACATGCCACAATAAGCCCAGTACCTGAGGATCCACCAACTGACGGGAACGTTGTCGAAGTCAACCACAGCAATGGAAAGGCGACTGGGAACCATAAAGAAGTCTCTGTAATGGTATCCCCTATCCAAGGCAGAGCAAAAGCAGGATGTGGGCATGATCAGAATAGTGGAGCCACAGAAGACACTGAATTGATGAAACTACAAACAAAGCAAAAAGGTCGAGGACGTCCAAAAAAACATGTGGTGGGTTCACGCTTGACAGGTTAGTGATCATCCACAGTTCATCTAAGTTAATGCACCTGAACGTCTAATTGAGCAGCGTCAGACAATAAAGTTTTGAATATGGTCGCTGACGCGCACGATCATGGGACGGGTAAGCACTCAAGGTCCCTGGACCGCATTGGCCTGATATAGTACACCGAAACTCACTTGGCTTAGGGAATATAAATTCATTATCAAGGAGAGTCGACGAAGAAGAACTCCAGCTGGATGGTGAACTAGCCATTGACATTGCGTGTGAGTGTATCACCAGAAGGAATGACGATGATTTAATCGAAGGCACTCGCCACATCTTACTACAGCTCGTGCAATGTCACGACCAATTCTTTGGACAGATGCCTGGCATAATTTGAAAACACTCCGATCAAGCATGTGGCTTGATGCAGCAGTGGCGAACTTTTATCTGTTACATGTCTGGTATGAAGGGCTAGGCCGAACCTGCATGAGATATCTGGACATGTATGCAGCAATGGCGGTTGACTTGTGCGATGCTGAGCTGGATGAAATAAGGAGGAACCACTTCATCCTTCCAAATGCTGCATGTCCCATAGTTCCTGTTGGATTCATCATTCATCATTCACAACATTTCTTCGCCGTCATATTTGATTTTATGCGACACACAGCACACGTCCTTGGTCGCCATATTTCGGATGACGCCATGCACGTCGATGGGACCAACCCGAACGACTGGGAGGCGTGGGGAGGGCCTAGATATTGGAGGAATGTTGCAGCGCTACACGGATGGACGGTAGGAGATGCCACTGATGTTTGCATCAGGGTGCAAGATTGGGCTCAAAACGGAGTGGACTGCGGCCCGATAGCATGCTCCGTGCTGGAGCAAGCTCTAACGTGCGGGCTGGACAGATATGGGAATGTGCCGCCGATACACATAAAATGTGGGCACATACTGCGCATGGACATATTCCGCATTGTTTCTGGGCGGATTGAGATCAGCTGCAGAGATTACATGATGCTCCTGGACGGTCCCCAAACTCATTGGATCGCTCATGAAATCCCACATGAGGATGTCATTTCTGCGATACAGCGCGGGAAGCAATCGGTCGAATGCCTGGGTCTGCTGGAGCAACTGGCTGCTTTAAGCGCAATATGCGCAGATTGCAGACACACTGTGCTCATCCAGGATCCTGGAGACCGCTTTCACACCGTCGATGATCACAATGTAACCTCCTATGACGATGATAATCAATTTGAGGATGAGGAGGTAGTTGAGCAATGCAGAGTATCAGAGGGTCAGTATAACACATTTTACTTGATACGGAGCACTGTGATGACATTGATACATTCTTGCAATTCTGTCATAGTACCATCGA